GAAAGAAAGAAAGAAAGAAAGAAAGAAAGAAAGAAAGAAAGAAAGAAAGAAAGAAAGAAAGAAAGAAGAGAGAAAACAAAAGAGGAAAAGGACAGGAGAGAGAGAGAGAGAAAAGAAAAGAGGGAAAGGAAAGAGAGAGGGGGATAGAGAGATGAAGGAAAAGAGGGAAAGGAAAGGAGGGAGAGAGAAAAAGAAAAAGAGGGAAAGGAAAGGAGAGAGAGAGAGGAAACAAAAGAGGGAAAGGAAAGGAGAGAGAGAGAAAAAGAGGGAAAGGAAAGGAAAGGAAAGGAAGAGAGGAAAGGAAAGAGAGAGAAAGAACAAAAGAGGGAAAGGAAAGAGAAAGAGAGGGAGAGAGAGAGAAAACAAAAGAGGAAAAGGAAAGAAGGAAGGAAGGAAGGAAGGAAGGAAGGAAGAAAGAAAGAAAGAGAGAGAAAGAACAGCACCACCAGATTCAGCCTCAAGGAATCCTTTTCTACATTTGCTCTGGGGACGGTGGTGCCCTCTGTTCTCCCTTCTACCCAGGGATCTTCTTCCTTTACATCTCCCCTCCTGTCCTTTTCTCTCTCTCTCTCTCTCTCTCTTTTTTTTGATGGGGGGGCAGGACTCTTTCCATTCCTCCCCAGCTCTCCAGTTTTCAGTTCTCCCCCAACCTTCAGGTGTGTGTGTGAGGGGTGGGGCAAGATGGCTAGTGTATTCCCGCCACATGCCGGGTGAAAATTCAAAGGTTTAATTAGCTCCTAATGTGCTCAGTGGGAAAGCTGGTCAGCTTGTAAATCTTGCCTCCAACATCAAAGGCCAAGGCGGAAGGTGTGAACCCAGCAGGACTGAGCCAACCCCACCGGGCCGCCATTGTCTCCAAGGACCTGATGCTTGTTCCCACCCATTGCAAAGCCGGGGCAAGAGTTTAAGCTCTGAAAGGGATGTTAATCAAGCAATTTCCCGCCTGGCTGCTTCTCCTCCTGGGTTTCTTGGAAGTTCTGGTCCCCGGAGCTTAGCTTACACATGCAAGAGAAGAAGAATAACGGGGAGGCCAGGAAGCTGGAAGAAGCCGAGTTGGCTGGCAAGCATCCTGACTGGCCCCCTCCCCGTTCCTAATCTTGGGCCCGGGCATTAATTCTAGGCTTGGGCCCAGGAAAGAAAACCAATTTAAGGGAGAACTTTTTAATCTATTTTTTTTTAAAAAAAAATCATTATCAGGTTTGTCTCCGGAGTTAAGGAAGGACCGTTTGCATGTATCCTTTTTAAACTGTTTTTTTTTTTTCATCTACAAATTTCAGGAAGGACAATTTATAAATTGAATCTCTTAATTTGTTTTATCTATGAATTTCAGGAAGAAAGACTTACATTTACATTTTTCAACTTTTTTTTATTATCTATGAATTGTTTAAATTTAATGTATCCATTTTTCACTTTTTTATCTATGAATTTTCAGGAAGGACTATTTAAATTTCATCTCTAGTTTTTTTTTAATCTATGGATTTAAGAAAGAATGATTTACATTTAATGTTCACATTTGTAACCTTTTTACCTATAAATTTAAGAAAGAACTTTCTTCCCTTTGCTTCCCTCCCCTTCTTCATCCCTTCCTCCTTTCCTTTCCTTCTTCCTTCCCTCCCTCCCTCCTTTCTTCCTCTTTCCCTTCTTTTCTTCCTTCCTTCCTTCCCTCCTTCCCTCCCTCTCCCTCTCTCCCTTCCCTCTTTCCTCCCCACTCCTTCTCTTGAAGCTTGTCTCGAGATTCATGATTTAATTAGGGCTATCACCAGAATCCTGACACCTCCCTTTCTCTTCCCTTTCTTTCTTTCTTTCTTTCTTTCTTTCTTTCTTTCTTTCTTTCTTTCTTTCTTTCTTTCTTTCTTTCTTTCTTTCTTTCTTCTTTCTTTCTTTCTTTCTTTCTTTTTCTTTCTTTTCTTTCTTTCCTCTTTCTTTCATTCCTTCCTCCTTCTCTCCCTCTCTTCTTCCCCTCCCCTTCTTTCTTTCCTTTTTTCCTCCCTTCCCTTCCCTTCCCTTCCCTTCTTTTCTTTTCTTCCTTCCTTCCTTCCTCCTTCTCTCCCTCCCTCCTTCCTCTTCCCCTTCCTTCCTTCCTTCCTTCCTTCCTTCCTTCCTTCCTTCCTTCCTCCCTCCCTCCCTCCCTCCCTCCCCCCCCCCACACACATACAAATACACACAAGTCTCCCACAGACATCAAGCAAAACCTCGTGTCACCAGTGCAGAATTTCATATTGAAATACGTGGATCAAATCCGTAGGCAAAGCAGACCTGAGCAGCCAATCCCTCCCAACTGGAATCCCACTGTACTGTCAAAGAACGGGAGAACCGAAGGGGGACTGAGAAAAGGGGCAGCTGCCCTCCTTCCCAACCTTTGGCGTGTCGACAGGTTCTCCCCCCCATCACCCACCCACCCCCAATTAGAGAAGGGCACCCTTAGCTGCAGGACTTCCCAGGGCTGGATGGCTCTGCGTGGCTCTGAAATGATTCCAAGTTTTCCGAGAAGGAAAGAGGCGGAATTAGATACACTCGCTTTCATATTAAAGGAGCTAAGGGACCCTTGGAAGGATAGGAAGAGAGCCAAAAAGCCAAACCACGGCCTGCTTGCAAGCCTATCCTGCCAAAAAGAAAAAAAGAAAGAAAGAAGGATGCTTGAAATATTAATTTCAAAATACACATTTCCCCTGGAAGCCAAGAAGGGGTGAGGGAGTTCTTTCCATTGAGCTGTCAGAAGCCGAGAGACACACAATCTCTTCTTTTCCAGCAGGCACAGCAGATGCTTGGCAAAGATCGAAGGCATTCAGCTTTGCCCCTGACATCTTGAAATGGGCCAAGAAGGTGCAGGAAGCCTGATCATCTCCCCTAACGGGCCCAAAATCAGAATAATAAAAGAGTTGGAAGGGACCTTGGAGGTCTTCTAGTCCAACCCCCTGCTCAAGCAGGAGAGATCCCTATATATCGGGGTCTCCAAACTTGGCAACTTTTAAGATTTATGGACTTCAATTCCCAGAATTCCTCAGCTAGTCATGCTGGCTGGGCAATTCTGGGAGTTGAAGTCCACAAAGTCTTAAAGTTCAGAGGTGGTGAATTCAGCCGGTTCTGCAGAACCGGGAAGCGGAAATTTTGATTAGTTTGGAGAATTGGCAAATGCCACCTCTGACTGGCTCCGCCCCCCCATCTATTCTCCGCCTCCTGAGTCCCAGTTGATCGTCTGGGTCTTCTTTGATTGCCCTGCACAGGAGAACGGAGCTGGAAAGCAGGTTAGTGGGGTGGGGAGGGAATGGGGATTTTGCAGTATATCCTTTCCCTGCCATGTCCACCAAGCCA